GAAATTTATTCATTTCTTTGAGATTTTCCAGCTTAATGGAATAAGTTTCTAAAACACTTCCTCCTAATATTCTGAATTTCTTTGGTGTCTGCTGTAATGGTTCTCCGTTTATTTCTGATTCTGTTAATCTGGGTCCTCTACTTTGTCTCATTGGGCTGGGCTGGGAATCTGTTGATCTTGTTCATCTTCTCAAAAGAACCAGCTCCTCAACTTGATTTTTTTTTCTTTGTTTCTGTTTCACTGATTTCTGCTCTGATTTTTTATTGATTCACGCCATCATCTAAGTTTGGATCTGGTTTGTTCTTACTTTTCCAACTTCTTGAGGTACATCATTAAACAGTTTATTTGTGCTCTTTCTGATTTTTTAATGTAAGCACTCAGATTTCTAAATTTCCCTTGCACAACTGCTTTCTTTCAATGTGTCCCAGAGATTTTTGTGGTACTTTTTTGATTTTCACTTAGTTCTAGGAAGTTCTTTATTTTTTCTTATTTTTTTATTTGACTCATTCATCATCCAGTAATGAGTTGTTCAATCTCCATGAGTTTGTGAATTTGTTTGCTGTCAATATTAAGTTTTACTGCAACATAGTCACATAGGATATAAGCAGTGATTTCAAACTTTTTGAAATTGTAAAGATTTGTTTTGTGTCCCAGGATGTGGTCTATTTTAGAAAAGGTCCATGGGCTGCTGAGTAGAATGTACTCATTGGTCTTTGGGTAGAATATCCTGTAGATATCTGTTAAGTCCATTTGATGTATGATATCAATTAATTCTAATGTTTCTCTGTTTATTTTCTATCCAGATAATTTGTCTATTGGAGAAAGCAGGTTATTGAAATCATCTAAGATTAATGGATTGGTGTTAATCTGCTTTTTTATTTTTATTTTTTTTTTTAATTTTTTTTTTGGTTTTTCGAGACAGGGTTTCTCTGTGTAGCTTTGCGCCTTTCCTGGAACTGACTTGGTAGTCCAGGCTGGCCTCGAACTCACAGAGATCCGCCTGGCTCTGCCTCCCAAGTGCTGGGATTAAAGGCGTGCGCCACCACCGCCCGGCCTAATCTGCTTTTTTAAATCAAGCAGTAGTTATTTTATGAAACCGGGGGCCCAGAGTCTGGTGCATATATGTTTAAGATAGTAATGTCTTCTTGATTAACTCTTCTCTTGATACAATGAAGCATCCTTCTTTATTTCTTTTGATTAGTTACAGTTTGAAGTCTGTTTTCTCAGATGTTAGGATAGTGGTGCCTGCTTGTTTCCTGGTTCTATTTAGAGTATTTTGTCCATCATTTTACTCTAAGGAGGGGCCTATCTTTAAAACTAAATGTGTTTCTTATAGACAATAGGTAGATGGATTTGGGGGGTTTTGTTTGGTTTTGTTTTTTTAATCTATTCAATCTGCCTTTGTCCTAACTGGAGAACTGAGACTATTGATATTTAAAGCTACTGCTGAAATGTGTGTGTTGTCATCATTGTGTTGCTGAGTTTTGGCTTTTGTTTGTGTTCTCAGTGGTATTTTGTGTTTTAATAATTATGGCCTCATATTTCTTTTCATAGTAAATCTGCTATCCTCACTCCTCTCTTGAGCCTAAAATACTGCTTCTTGTATTTTCTTTAGGTTTGGTTTGTTGGGTGTATGTGTGTGTGGCTGTTTATATCATGGAAAGTTTTTCTTGCCTTTATCCTTCAATTATTTTTGCTGGGTACATTAATCTAGGGTGGCCTTCATAAATCTTTTAGGACTTGGAATGTATTCCTCCAGATCTTCTAGCTTTCAGAGTTTCCAATGAGAAATAGCTGTTGTTCTGATGGATTTTCCTTTATATGTGACTTTGGTTCTTCTTTTTTCCTCGCACCGTTCACTACACTTTTTTGTTATGTATAGTTAGTGTTTTAACTATGACATGGTGTGGGGATTTTCTTTTCTGGTTTTGTCTATTTGGTGTTCTGTGTATTTCTTGTATCTGTGTGGACATGTGTTTCCTCAGTTTGGTGACATTTTCTTCTATGATCTTGTCGAAGATCTGGTTTATGCCATTGACTTGGGATTCTTTTCTCTCATCTATGTAAACTTTTTTTTTCATGGTGTCCCACATTGCCTGTGTCTTCCTTTCCTGTGTTTAGAAATTTTTCATATTTCTTGATTATTCAGTCTAGAGCCTCTATTTTATCTTTGGAATCTGCTATTGTATCTTCTGTCTGATTCATTCTACGTGTAAGGCTTTCTTTGGAGGGTTCTAGTTGAGTTATTGGCCTTTTCAATTACATCTTTATTTTGGGTTGAGTTCTCTTCAATGTTTCCATCTCCTGATTAAATTCCATCTCAATCCTGGATTGTCGTCATAATTTCCATTATCTTATGTTTGTGTTTTCTTGACCACCACTCAGGCGGTTATTCTCCTGGAGTTCTTTCTCCTTCATTCCATTGAGCTGTATCTTTGTGTCTTCTTTAACCTCCTTGAATTCCTTGATGAAGTTTATGATTGTCCTTTCAATTTTGGGGTCCTGGGGTCTATCCAATTCATTGGCAAACATTCTATAGTACTGACCGATTTTAGAGAGAAGATATTGGCTTGATCTTTCATATTGTTGGTATTTTTGCATGAGATCTGGGCATCTGAGTCTGACATGGACAAAGCAGGTTGGGGCTGAAGACAGGATGTGTGAATGTGTTGGGCTTAGATGTTAGAAGTGGCTTGGGTAGAATGAAGTTACATGGAGAGAGGACTGGGCTGGTGGAAAGGATGTTTCCTGGTTTAAGCCTGGGGTGTACGAGTAGATCTGGTTGGATGGACAGGTTGGATATGGCATGGGAGGTTCCTGTGGGTGGGCAGAAAGGTAGGGGGGATCCTAAGCCTAAGCCTACAATTGTTTGTGCTGCAATCCCAGATGACTAGGTTGGGGTACTATATGTGGGACCCAGGCTACATTTAGTGGATTGTGCAAAAAGCATGGATGGGGAAAATCAAGGAGACTCACAGAGCTAGAACCTGGAGAAGAAAGTGGGAGACCTGGCTTGATGGGGTGGTTGCAAGCAATGAAGATGGAATTTGTGGGTGGTTGTGGGTAGAGTGGATCCTGGAGGAAACCTAGAAGTTGTCTATGTTACAGGCCCAGGTGGGCAGACTAGGCTGGGGCACTGGATGTGAAACCCAGGCTAGATCTGGCAAGTTGCGAAGAAGGCATGAATAGTGGGAGATAAGAGAGACTCACCTGGAGGAGGAAATGGGAAGTCTGAATGGGTGGGGTGGTTGAAAGCAGTGCAGAAGGGACCAGTGGGTGGTTGCAGGTAGGGTGGGACCTGGCCCCTTCTTTATGTTTAAATACGTACGTAAACCATCCCTTTAACCTGACAACCTTTTTATTAGAACATTTTCTGAGTAACTAACACTCACTTTTATTCATTATCTTTTAAATAAACATGTTCTTGCTTTGGTCTCTACCATTATACTGACCCTTCTACCAATACCAAGGATGAGGAACGCACTTAGTACATGCAGGTGCTACTTTAAACAATCATCTTAAAAGCTCTTCTCTACAAGGTATTTTGTGGAATACTCTTCTTGGGTATATTTCGTCCCTCTGCTCCCATTTCTGTTCAGGCTCTATTAATCCAACTCTTAACCTCTGGCAAGCACTAGCCAGGATTCTGTTTTGGCTTCTACTGCACCCCCCTTCTCCCATCACACATTCCAGACAACCAGTTTCCAATCAGAGTAGGTTAGAATAGAAACCAACCAATCCCTGGTCTTAGAAAGACTGGCTTCAACTTCAGGCACCACCACCAGCACACTAGTAATGTTCTCATGGGATGTCACACCTAGGACTCCTCAGTGTTCTTATGGTCTTTCCAATCTCATACTTGTAACTGGAAAGTGTTACCCTCACTTCTCTACTTGGATGCAAAATCACCTTCTCTTTGCCATTCAAATGTCTTTACCTCTAAAATTCAACTCCCAAACCAACTACTACTTCTAAGCTGCCCATCACTGCTTATGTACTGGATATATTATTACCAGTAGCTTGAAGGCCAGTGACCCTACACACTCCTGCCTTTTATTTATGCGTTCTGGATTATAATTCACAACTTTCTATTAAGTCCTCATCCTATGATCAACTCTTCTAGAAAGTGCCTTCCAGACTTGACTGGCTAAGATGTTCTCCTTTGTTAAACACTGCTTCACCCTGCCTAGAGTAAGCACCTGAGAACTTTATAGGAGAAGCTGAATTGATCAGACTCAATCTAAAATCTCCACTTTGGACAGTAGGGTTTTCCAGTATGTTGATGCTTTTCAAATTAAAAAAAAAAACTTTTTAAGAATGTGTAATGACTTTGATGTCCCAGCATCCTCTGGGGCCAGAGGCTTATTCAGCTATTGCAGAATCCAAGGCAAGTCAGAACCCCACTGTAGACAGTGGTCTAACACCATGATACTTTTTAAAAGACAGACTTACTAAAAGATGTATCCTTTTAAATACATGGCTAAAAATTTACACTTTTTTTTACTTGAATTCTTAATAAAACAAAGTATTTCAAAAAAGTATTAGACCTAATAGGCTACCATCAGACTTACACAGATTAAACCTAGCAACAACTGATGCCTACCAGAACACTGACTTCAAGGTATATTTTATTTTTTCAAAAAACAATTTTCGAAAATGAAAGACTTTGTCATGAATTTTCAGCTTCATTAATAAACCTCAATACATTAAACATTTGTGTTTTTAAATAAGGCCCTCAGTTGACAGAGAAAAATACATTGGTGGTGGAATTTCTATGTTCCTTTATCACCAAGAGAAATAAAACTGTAGCCTAGCAGATGGAAGAACTGGAATTTCCAAGGACTCAAGACCTGAAAAGTCAAGGCTTTGGATTAATTACCCAGAAGCAGAAGTCTGGTGGGATTCCTGATGCAGTACACAGCATCATTTCTGTAAACAAATCCAAGAGCATATAGCTGCTGCCGAATTACAGAAGATCCTGAGCAGAACACTGGACCTACCTGGCTGATCCCTGAGGCAGGGATCTTGTAGGACTGCATCTTCTGCTTCAGCAGCTCTGCATCACTGTGACGGAATGGGCACCCTGACAACAGAACACAAGCCACACAGCAGCAAGGTTATTTACCAGGGCTCAGCACAGCGCCACACTTGAGAGGCTGCCGAAGCTCTTAACTGTCGAACAGCTTATTAACAAAAGTCAATTGCCCATGGGTGCAACTGCTTTCCTTTCCTTCTAAACGAGGATTTAGCTGCTCGGTTATCAGGATACTACAGGCTCAAGAGTTACATAAAACAGTACAGCACTCTCAGACTCACACGGCCGTTCGCTAGGAAGAGAAAACAGCCCGAACCTTGCCACTCTCTCACCAGAACAGAAAATCACAAAGCAGCCAGAACAGTGTACCTAAAACTTACACACTCTAACATTTCTGTAGTCTAAAAACATTGCAGAAAGACCTAAAAGAGAAGGGATATATATAATAGAAATAAAAATATCCAAACTCTAAGAAACATAAACATATCATATCAGATTCAGACATAAATTCTATGCCTATCTCCTGAAGACCAGAACTCATATAAACTTTGAAGAATCATGGCAGTAAACAATGTAGACAATTAGTAATTGTTTCAGAGAAAAGCCACATATAATATATTTGTTTCATCACTGTATTTCATGAGCAAAATAAAAGGATGGACAATGAGAAATATTTGCATGAAGAACAGAGACTATTTAAGTACAGAATAATAAATCAACAAGCTAACTGGGAGTAACTGCACATTTTATTTGAAATCAGTGGAAATTAGGGGATGAAAAATATAATGGAAAAGGGCCAAGAAGCCAAACAAATGCATTTATCAAACAATTTGACTATGAATAAAGCCTCCATTGTAAAACTATGGATTTCTATAAACTATGAAATCTGCAAAATTTATAGCATATCCTTTATTCAGATTGAAACAAACACATTTTGGTACCAGAAGACATCTTGAGAAAACATATACCACAGAGTAGAGTCTGGCATTCCTGGTAGATCGACCATGCTCCTGTGGGTGGCTCTCCACAAGACTGACAAAAGAGCAGTACAAATGGAACATGGTGAGTTGTTTAAATTAAAAACCAGAGAGATGAAGTCGTAAGATGGGGAGGGGTGGATCTGGGAGAAGTTGGAGGAGCGGTAATATCATATTGAATTTCAAAAAAACAACCTAGCTTTGGAGTGTCTGGGTTTGAAATATGGACTCACACACACACACACACACACACACACACACACACACACACACACAAAGTATTGAAAATATGTTAGTTATCATCATTATACAGCAATGAAAACAGAAAAATTCCAACGAGAAAGAAATGATGGTGCACATGAGAAATATTGGTTATTTCCAGAATAACTAAGGTACATAAAAAAGTGAGATAGACTAAACAGAGTCACACAAATTATACTTGACATGATGGACAGGACCCTATAAGAGGCCCAAAAGACAAAGCCAGGTAGAACCAGAGAACAACTCCAAGAAAGGTTTTTCTGAGCTAGGCTCCTCAGAAGAAAAGAGGAAGTAAACCAGAACTCGGCCAAGCTGGTGTAACAGATGATATAAACACATTCTCTGTTCCCCTTCTTTGCCTCAAAGAGAATGATCTTCAGGGTTGAATAAACAAGACAACAAAAGACGGGTGATTGCTCTTACAGCTAACGTTAGCATTTAAAAAACAAACAAACGAACAAATGGAACTGTTTGAGACCACGGCCAGATACAGTTAGACCTGCACAGATTCTAACTACTTAATCAACTATTCTAGGAGCATCAGGTGATGAAAGAAAACCAGTGTAGGGGACTAAATAATTTTACAAATAACAGAATGAAAAAGGACACATATCCAGTTTCTGCTTGAGCAGCTCAGCTCTACCCTAAATAAGAAAAAAAGCTAATTAAACTGAAAAGCCACCAACAAAGAAATAGGGTCTCAAGGCAAACTCTGAGAAGCAGGTAAATGCAGAGATTTATAACTGACTAGCAGAGAAATCCCTGAGCAGAAGTCGGCGCCACTGGGCAAACCCAACCGACTGGCTCATGACTGGAGTCACAGTGTGCACGCATCTAAGAGAAGCTCAGGGGATGACTGTTAGGGCAACTCTTACACTGTTATGAGTTTTACATTCAGAAAATCTACCAGCATCTCACAGTGTTTATCATATAAATAAACAGAAATGAATAGATAAGTCAAGCTTCTGTAGAAGGAAGGGAAAGGTTAACTACACTAGCACTTTCTGTTCTCCAGAAGAGACTACCTGAGCAGAGCCCTGCCGGGTCTATTACAGCCTGACATTTTTGGGGAAGAGGGGTACCCAGCAAGCTCATGTCACTCTAGGAGGGAAAGTCAGCATGGCACTGGAGAAGTTCAGTGTGAAAATGCTGAACAAGCAGCAGAATTATAACAGCAAGGATGCTGGAATGAAGAGACCAGGTTCAGATGTTAGAAAAAGACAGCACGCAAGAACAGATGCTAGAATAACCAGAGACATTAATCCTATGCATTTTTAAAGGCTACAGATTAAAAACACTACAGAAATTAAAAAGAGTTTCCATGATGGTTTGAAGGAAAATGGGCCCCAAAGGGAGTGGCACTATTAGGAGGTGTGGCTTTTTATAAGTAGGTGTGGTCTTGTTGGAGGAAGTGTGTCATTTGGGGGCAGGTTTTGAGGTCTCTTTTGCTCAAGCTTTGCTCATTGTGACACTCAGTCTACTTCCTGTTGTCTGCAAGATGTAGCACTATCAGTTCCAGCACCATGACTACCTACACGCCTCCATGTCCCTCCATGATAATGGACTAATCTTCTGAAACTGTATGCCACCTCAATTAAATGCTTTCCTTTATAAGAGTTACCATGCTCATGGTGTCTCTTCACAGCAATAGAAACCCTAACTAAAATGGTTTCTTTTCTGTTGCCTCCAAGATGCACATCTTACTCATACAGACACTGAATGCCGTGATGGAAAATACCTAGGAAGCAAATAGAAAAACAAGCTGGCTCAGCTATTCTGATGTCTGAAAAAGCAGACGTCAAACCAGAAGTAGTCAGAAGAGACAAGTGAGGTCACTACATATTAAGAAGGGAATAACTCATCAAGAAGATACAATTATAAATATATATGCACCAAATGTTGAGACTCCCAATTTTATAAAACAAACAATGATGAACATAAAGGTCAATAGGTCAAAATAAAATAACTCTAGTTTCCTACTTTCATCTGTAAGATAGATTACCAAACCCTAAAACCAACATAGAAGCTCCAGATTAAACTACATCTCAAATGCATGTAACATATTGACAAATTATTCCACCCAGCAGAAAGAGAACAAACATTCCAGGAAGCAGCCATAGAGCCTGCTCAAAAACAGACCACATATATTTATAGCAGCTTGATTCATATATACAGTATGGAAACAATCAAAATGTTTGTGGTAGTTTGAATGTCATTGGCCCCAATAAGCTCATAGGGAGTGTCACTATTGGGAGGTGTTGCCTTGTTGAAGTAGGTGTGGCCTTGTTGAAGGAAATGTGTCACTGTGGGGCCAGGCTTTGAGATCTCTAATGCTTAAACTTCACTCAGTGTCACAGTCCATTTCCTGTTGCCTTCTAATCAAGATGTAGCCAGCACCATGTCTGCCTGCATGACGCCATGCTCCCTGCCATGATGATAATGGGCTGAATCTAAACTGTTAGCTGCCACCTCAATGAAATGTTTTCCTTTATAAGGAATGCCATGGTTATGGTGTCTTTTCACAGCAATAGAAACCCTAACTAAAACAATGTTCTTTAACAGGTGAAAAAAATAACCTGTGATATATCCAGACAATGGAATATTATTATCAGATCCCCACCCAGCCTTCACTGGGAAGCCAAGAGAAGGCAGCTGAAACATCAGGACCAGCTTCAGTGAGAGGCTCTGTCTCAAAAATGAAGGCAGAGAGTAATAGAGAAAGGCACCTAACATCGCATTTTGGCCTCCACAGGCACACACATGGACACACATCTACACATACATATGCACACATGTGTACAGAGACACAATGTATACATTAACACAACCATTAACACAATCAACTGTCCAAAAAGAGGGGAGTGATTTAAAATAACCTTCAAAGGATATATTATGCAACAAACTAAAATAATCTTTCAGAGACTAGTAATAACATAAAAAAATCAAAAAATAATGTCAAGTTTAAAAATGTGAGGCAATTAGTTAGGAGTTAGCTATTTAGACTTAAGAGAAAGACTAAAATGTTGATAGTGACCATGATTAAATGTGAGATAATGGGCAAATTTTCTTATAATTTTCAAATTTTCTATAGACATAATATTTTGAAAATAAACAAAAAGGAAGCATAATGATGTCCAGAAAGTCAAAAAATGTGGATGTCAGAGACTGGGGGAAGGAGAGATACACAGGGGATTATCAGGCAGTAAAACTGTTCTCTCTCTCTCTCTCTCTCTCTCTCTCTCTCTCTCTCTCTCTCTCTCTCTATTTATATATATTAGTGTCATAATTTTGTCCATATCCATAGACTATAGACACCAAGAGAGAACCCTCATCTCAGCTACAGGCTTTGAACAAAAACAACATTCAGTAACCATTCCCTGTGCCACAAGACACTGATGGAGGAAGTCATCATGTGTGAGGCTGTTTCTGTTCAGTTTTCCTGTGAACCCAATGCAGCTCTAAAATGATTTATTAGATAGATGGATGGATGGATGGATGGATGGATGGATGGATGGACGGACAGACGGGTGATCAATAAATGTGTGCAGCAAACAGTTCATTCACCAAGTATTTGTGAAGAACAGTACAGGAACCCACCCTTATGTGAGGTTTTACTTTCTGTAGTTTCGATTACCAAAGATCAAAAATACACTAATAGAATTTTACACAGGTGTTTCATGTGTGCAGCATTATGAGTAGTGTGACAGAAATTTTAGGATGTGAGCCACCCCAGTTTAATGTGTCCAGCTGAACACAATGACTGCCTGTTGGTCACTTAGTTATAAAATCAACTGTCATGATAACACAATTCTACATTTAGATTACAGCACATGAGTACTGCCTATGGCAACCCACGTACGCAAACAAACAAGCAAAACAAAATAAAACAACAAAAACTCTGTAAAGTGCTTCCCCTAAGTGAAAGGTTAAGGAAGGAGGGCAGGAGGCTCAAGTTGTTAAATTAAGAATGAACTTTCTAATTGTGAAATGGTCAAAATGAAATGGAACTGCAGAAGAAGCAGGAACAGTATGAGACAATTGTTTAGTTAAGACGGCAGAGACATTAACTTGTGGATGGGAAAGAATGAACAGAAAAGGTGTTCTGGGGGTGTCAGAAGCACTGAGTTTACAAACGCACCCCCCAGTGAGGCTCCTTAAAGAGTGACAAGCCACGCACGGCACGCAGTTTTTATATAGGTTCAGGAGTAGAGTTCCTTTGTCCTGTTTCATTTTTTTTTTTTTTTTATGGTGCTATGGATCAAACTAAAGGCCTTGTGCGTAGTAGGCGAGCATTCTACAACTAACCCAGCCCAGCAACAGGTTTTAGAAGAAAAACAGCAAAATCACTAGCCAGGCCACACCTCCCGAGGAAGCTGCGCCTCACCCTACAGGGTTGGGAAGCTGACTAAGGCGACAAGATGCTGTCTAAAGCAGACCTTCAGTCAGGAGGAAGCAGCCTCTTCCAGAAGAGCATGCACGATAAAACCAGCACTCGGTGAAGTGCTCAGGAAGCACCAGGGCCCAGCACAAGAGGAGAAAGACCACCTCTAGCAGCAGCAGGGCCGGGCATGCGACACAGCCAGCATGGTGTAAAGAAGCCATGAGTGTTCAAAACTCAAGACGATCCGTTCCTGTCTGGCAACATGATCTGAGTCGGGGTGACAGCCACCTTGTTAATAGAAAGTTATGACCAATAATTCCTCCAAGAAATAAAAAATACTTGGAAAAAGGGTTGAAACTGAAGGTCTTCTTGATGGAAGACCATATACCTGGCCATCCTGAGTTGGTTTGCTATGGAAATACAAGTTTGAAGTTGCATTTTTATTATTTTAATATTTATTATTTTATTATTATTTATTATAATAATTATCCTATTATTATCCTAATAAGATCCCACTACTCCAGCCCTTCTGATCTGCCAAGGCCATAAAAACTTACCTGCTTTAATTGCATTTAAGCATCACTTGATATAGGTCCTAATCTAGACACAGCACAATGTAGGAAATGATTGACGCCTATGAAGCAGGAACATTGACCAAGGCTACACTGAAAACCAGAACTGAAAATGCCTGATGGAAGAATGTCCAGCATGAAGCCAGGAACGACTTCAAAGGCTTCCTGGGGATCAGTAAAGGAATAGGGAAAACACTTGTACTGAAAGACAAGTTGGTATGAATTTGCTAGCACGCTCATGAAGGAATGGAGCAAACATCAGATTAACAGATAGACAATTGGAAGAACTTGTTGAGACCCCTACAGAGGGAAATGGACAGAAAACTGAGGCAGAACCAGCAGTGGAACATTCTCAAATTTGCTGAATTACTGTTTCCAGAGAGATCTCATTATATTGCTCATGCCATATGATGAATTCCTGAGCTCAAGTGAGCCTCCTGCTGCTCAGCTCCTTAGTGCTGGACTAAAGGCACTGTGCTGCTACACCCAGCTTTAAAGTCATAAAAGGGCAAGGTATGGAGTCCTCAGGATGCACAGAGCATTAAAATCTCCCACATGACCTCTAAAGGATCACGATGCTGGGGCAGTAATATGAAAACTAAAAAGAGATAACTTTTTATTATAATTTTCACACACAAAAAAATGTCCTCCAACAGAACAAAGAAGAAAACCTTACAAATACTGAGTATCTGTAAACAGTTCTATCACCTGGCCATGACATCCATCCATTCACAGCATCCAAGCTCGTTGGTCTAGGGTCACCTGACATGATCTTCCTAACACTATACCACAATGGTTACATCCATCACCTTGGCTTCACTGTACCAAAAATGTACCATATCAGCTCATATCATATAAAAGCAAGGACAGTACACTGACACAGTTGTTTTCATAGTATATCACTATAATTATTCTAGTATTGTTAATCTCTTACTATGCCTAATTTAGAAATTAAAATTTATTATAAGTTGTGTGCACACACAACTCAAGCAAACTGATATATACATTTGACACTGGGACTTGTTAAACTGCTTACTTAATCTCTGTTAATCAGATGACAGTAGTAAGAAAAAAAATACACTGTTCCTCAGCATGTGGCCTTTTGAACATTAACAAAACGTACTATTCTGAAACTAGGGCTTTCCTACCTCAAACAGCTTTAAAACACTTCTATCTTCTAAGACCCTTGCAGAACACGTGACAGAGAACAGCAGATGAAAGAGAACTGGGAAGCCTGCTCCAGCACAAGCTGACCGCGGCTGAGGGAGCTGAGTAACAAGACAAATTACTGTCAGAGTAACGGGGCTCCAACCTGACACTGACACACACAGAAGCTACTACAAGCTAGGTCCTTCAGCAATGCAAAGCGCCATTCACCAGCATCCAGCCCAAGCACTTACCGTGATAATCCCCTTGGCTTGGTGGATTGGTTAGGATAATCTTCATGCAACTGAAAGGTGTGTAGTCTGTCCTCTTGCCTTCTTTCCCAAAGCTGTGACGGATATTGTAAGCGTAACCTTTATCAAACTGAGGGAAAAAAGAAGAGACCAAGTCAGTCAATACAGTACTAACACCAGCTAGGATCAGAGAGCTAAGTAATTTAGCGTTCATGGACCTGTACACCCTATGACACGCGCACGCGCACACACGCACACGCACACGCACACGCACACACGCACGCACGCGCACATACACACCCAGAAACAGGGTTTTTCTATTACTGCCACACCCACTTGTCTCTGCAGTGTACTAAACACACTTTTTAAAGAAACAATAAAAACCTTCTCAGGTAGAAGACAGTAAAGGTTAGAATCATCCCTCTGTCTCTGGTATCTAATGGGGATTGTTCTCAGCAATCCCAGGGATATTAGAATCTACAAGTCAATGTCCAATAGCTCACAACTGGGTGTAATGTTTGTATCTAACTTATTACAGCCTCCCACCTACTTTAAATGATCTCCAAATTATTTACAACAAGTAATACAATCCAAATGCTATGGGAATAGTTGTTACACTGTCATTGTTTGGGAATAATAGCAATGAAAAAGTCTGTACGTGGTTAGTACACACACAAGATTTTTTGCCCCCCAAACACTTCAATCTAAGGTTCACTGAGTCTAAGGATGTGAAAAACCCAAAGCCATGGAGGGCCAGCTGTTTAGTCTAAGGGTGGGGATAATCTGTGGCAGACGAGAATAATCAATCCGTCCTCCTTCATTTGATTCCAGAGATTATACTGGGTGGGAACCAGCTTAACCTCTCCGTCCGCCTCCTAAACTGAACTTTAATGTCTCATCCTAACTCACTGCACTTATGAAATGCCTCTTAAAATATGTAATGCCGTCCTCTGCATCTCCACTCCAGAAAACAAGCTGTTGGCAAATGGCTGATAAGTGGATGAGCCACTACAATTGCCTACTTGGAATCCCTTCCTGCCTTGGCGTTCATAAAACAAGCTAATGGGGTGGAAGGGACATGGGAATGAATGAGATAAGAGGAGGAAAAGGGACTTAACATTCATTGAAAGGCACTTAGGTACCACCAGGCATCCTGTTATGTGCTTTTTAAAGTGCAACCCCATTTGATCATTTCAAATAACCGGTCCCCCTGTGATGGTACCCAAGAGGAAATTGAAGCTCAAAGAAATGAAGTAATGTAATACAACACAGACATTAAATAAACAGCAGAGTTGAAAAGCATGTGGAATTGGAAAAGTCTGATTCCAAAACCCAAGTTCTTTGCATAATACTGCTCTTCCTCAATAATAAGATATTCAAAGATTATAGGTTCCAATATATCATTTTAGGCTATAACTTCTTTCTTTCAAATGATACTTCATCTTGGAGTCTGGAGTCGGGAGCAGCCTCTTCTTCCGCACCTCAGTAGCATTTCCCTATGAATACCTATACTCCTCCAGGATAGTTCTCTTTGCTGCATATCTGATTTCCATCATGCTTGCCTGTGTTTATCTTATGGCTTGTTAGCTTCTACTCTGTACTGAGGTGATCAGTTGCTCCTGGGCTATCCAGCACTCCACTAGTATGCAAGAAAATGAACTCACTGCATGTGGAAGGACTCCCTGGTCTACTATAGCATTTGAAAGGGCATCATCCCATTTTCATGCTCCCATGAAATGTTTCCAGTGCCTGATGGTTGGTGATTTTCTAATTCCTTTACTAGGTGATGTCCACAGGCCATTGGTCAAACAAAGACAGACAATGTACCACTGAGAATATGTTTGATTAGAGGGATATGACAGAATATTAGCAAAACCCAACTTAACAGAGGAGCATAAATTATGGTAAATTTCTCACATAATTATTTGGGTAAAAACTATGAGAACGGCCAGGCATGATGATGCACACCTTTAATCCCAGCACTTGGGAGGTAGAGGCAGCCAGATCTCATTGAGTTCCAGGCCAGTCTGGTCTCCAAATTAAGTTCCAGGACAACTAGAACGTTACACAGAGAAACTCTGTCCCCCCAAAAAAACAATAAATAAATAAATAAATAAACAAACAAACAACAACAACAAAAACCTGTGAGAACAAAAACCAAGTTTCTAAAATAACTATCAGACATCAGCAAATGGCATACCATAAGAGTCTTTAAATAATAGGAGGGAAATGCCCTGCTTTTACTACGCAGTAATCTCACAAGCTTTCAAAACGAAATTCTCAGAAGCTGTAAGAGCTTCAGAGAGCACATCAAATGTTCTTCCATGACACCCAGGCAATACTTGCTAAGTCGGGAGAAGCCACAGAGCACACATAACGAGTCATTTCCAAAGGGCAAAATCTTCAGAGTTCTGAATCTAACGTTCAGAATAAAATGTCTATAAAAGGTCATATTTTTATTTCCATGCTTCTTTAAATAAAACGCATATTCTGGAAAGCTTGGAGAAAGAGTTCTTGAGCAAATTTTTATGTGAAATTACTAAGCATAACACTAAAAGTATTACACAGATAGAAATAAAAATGTTATTTTGAGCTTATAAACAGATGTGACAATGGGCAATAAACTGACAACCTGAGTGGGCAGGACAGGTCTAAGTTTTATCTGCATTAAGTGAGCACAGGGCACACAAGTATGGCAGAGTTGCCGCTTTCTCCCCATTAAGGTTCACTATGAAAGTAACCCAGCAAATATCAGGGTGTTGGAGATTCTGGGCTTTGAAGTCAGTGAGGCAACTTACAAAGGGTGTGATTTCAACTCTCATCTTTCTGAATCCATGCCATACCCCTGAGGTCTCTTTTCCGTAAGTTTACATCCACTGACTCCACTTATTCTTTAGCTATAAATCTTCACTTGATGTGGTGCCCCGTTCCACAATAAGGCCTCATTCTCTCTCCTCTAGCAGTTCCTAAAGAAAATCTGTTTATATTCCTTTAATTATTGTCCAGCTTGGCTTTTAATTGAGCAACATTATGGAACCACAATCAGATCTGACTGCCATCAGGTCCCTCACTCACAAAACACCAATCTAACAACCCAGACTGAACCTCTATTTCCATCTCATGCAGGTCTAGATAACAGTCCACTGATGCATGATGAAGGCGGATTTGATTCCTAAGATTCTGAACACAAATGCCTATGGACTGGGTCATTTCAATAAGCTCATCATAAACTCCAATCATTGAACATGAAAAATGCACTTAATAGCCCTAACCTACCAAATGTCACCACTTAGCAGGACATGCCCAGAGTGGTTAGTTGTTGACCCTTGATTGTGGGCTAACGGAACCATAGCTCACTGCCCTGCCAGCTCCTCCATGAGATCAAACTGAAGATGATTAGAATTTCTCCTCCGGGATAAAGCAATAATAACTTTTACAAACACTTCCAAAGAGTAAATGTCCGCAGGTTAGTATCATCCTGTCTACATTTTACCCACATTTAGCTTCTGTCCATTTTCCCCCCACAGTCTCCCTATTTTTTTTGGGGGGGGGGTCTGTAGCTGGAGTTTTCCTGCCTGGCCCACAGTCAGGACAAATCTCTATCACCTGCCAGTCCCACAGCAGCTCAGACCCGACCAAGTAAACACAGAGACTTATATTGGTTACAAACTGTATGGCCATGGCAGGCTTCTTGCTAACTGTTCTTACAGCTTAAATTAATCCATTTCCATTAATCTATACCTTGCCACATGGCTCGTGGCTTACCGACATCTTCACATGCTGTTTCTCATTGTGGCGGCTGGCAGCGTCTCTCTGACTCAGCCTTCCACTTCCCAGCTTTATTCTCCTCCTTGTCCCGCCTACACTTCCTGCCTAGCCAATGGCCAATCAGTGTTTTAATTATTGACTAATCAGCAACACATTTGCCATACAGAACATCCCACAGCAGGGGTCTGGTCATTTTAGGCCACGGTATCAGGGAAACCAAAAAAGGTTTTCTGTCTTACAGCATTAAGGATCATACATGTCTGTTTGCATAAAGTCACTGTAAGCCACAGTATGTCTTTTAGGCAATACAAATTATAACACTACAACACTTCCCAGTGAGAGGGATGAAAGGTTGAATAACAAGTTCACTAGCCTCAATGGGTGTAAATGTTTAATTACAGGATTCAAATATATCTTGTATAAAAAGGTTATATGTTCAGGTTTGTGTTAGTGTTTTTCTTTGCAATTAGCACACTGCACCACCTACTTACATAAACAACATGAGTCACTGCAAAGGGGCAGCATGTCAAGTCCAGAGAAATGATGCAATGTTTGAAGGAAGAAATTCTTCTCCCTTTCCCTCTTAGTGGTGTGTTATCGGCACCACCCTAGATAGGTGATTTCATCCTGTGGATTATGATAGAGGTTCTGGACTAGAGCCCCAAAACAAAGCGGTTGCCTTCTTGTAACCAAAGCACAAATTACTGACAGATTGTGTTCTCAGCAATGCAGGAAGACGACTCTACCCAGGGAGGCCTATGTAAATTTCAGCGTCTGGCTTCAGGTGAGCTGCTAGCTTCTCAGCATCAATGTGGTTTCTCATTAAGACACTGGATTTATGTTGCCATGCTATTCTTTCAAACAATCTACACACAGGAGACATGGAACAGGAAAAGATAGAAAGAAGGAAAATGCTTTTTGTCCTTCAGTTTTACCACCCTAGTAATGTTTAAAGGAAACCAATATCTCAGGTTACAGGTGCTCTGGACACTATAATAAATCTTTCATTTAGTCATAGGAACTTAATGTAAAATTAAAATGTCAGTAAGTTCGTCAAACATGAACATGTCCAAAGAACAGCCAGGAAATAGCAAACTGACTGCTGAATATAGACTCTTATGCTTTAGTTTTAGTGCATTAGTGAACAAAACCAAAAAACTCACACACATACATACACACACACACACACACACACACACACACACACACACACACAGAGCATACATTAAACTATGAATAGTAAAAATACCTAGATTTCATATCAATTCTCACTTTCAATGTTAATTTTCAAACCACTTGGTAACTACTCTCACAGCATCCCTGAAGTAGAGACGTGTCATTAACAATGGAGATGCTTTCTGA